TTTTTTTTTTTTTTTTAAAGATACAGGGTCTCGCTATGTTGCTCAGGCTGGCCTCCAACTCCTGGGCTCAAGTGATCCTCTCACGTCAGCCTCCCAAGTAGCTGAGACTACAAGTAAATTTCACTGCACACAGCTTAATTTTCATATAACTTCAAATTAGAGAAACTTTGCTTAAATTAATATGGTTGTCTGAAAGTTAGAATCCATCAGGAATTTTAATAATTATGCTGAATAGTTAATGAACGCAGGATGAAACAAAAATAGCATAGCCAAAAGTTCCCATTCAAAATGATTTCCTTTAGGAAAAGTTAGCCAAATCTTAAAAACAAGCAAAACAAAACAAAAAACCTGCAACATTTAAAACTGTTTAAGGCCAGGCATGGTGGCTCATGCCTAAAATCCCAGCAGTTTGGGAGGCCAAGGTGGGCAGATCACTTGAGCCCAGGAGTTCAAGACCAGTGTGGGTAACACGGAAAAATCCCGTCTCTACAAAAAAGAAAAAAAAAATTAGCCAGGTGTGATGGTGCGTGCCTCTAGTCTCAGCTACTCAGGAGGCTGAAGTGGGAGCATGACTTGAGCCCAGGAGGTGGAGGTTGCAGTGAGCCGAGATCGTGCCACTGCATTCCAGCCTGGGCGACAGAGCGAGACTCTCAAAAAACAAAAAACAAAACAACAACAACAAAAAAAAAACATTTAAAATACTCAGAAACTAAAAAATGAACTAGTAAATAAATCAAAATCCTTCCAGAGTTAAAAACATTCCTTCCAGAATTCAAATTCCTTTAATTCACTTTGATTTATGTATAACAAAATCAAAGGTCCAGAAATCTTCAAATAATACAGCAAAGCACCGTAACAGTATGCTCCATCTTTAGACATATCCAGACCAAAATGCGCACATGCAAAATGCCAAATACACATGCTTACCCTTTCAAGTAGGTCTTATTTCTACCCCCAAACTCAAGAATTGTTAAAGATCATACAAGTAATTCCTTTCGCTTACCTGTCAGCCATATTTCTCCACTTAAAAAGCAAATTACTTGCAGAATCACCAATGGGCAGGTGCAATCTCTCCTTAAAATATTTGACAATGCCTTGTTCCTCCAAAAGCACAGGAACTCGGTATGTGGAAGAAACATCATGGATACATATGACCTAAATGATAATGAGAAATCACCTTACTTAGATGAATCTACTCAAATATGCCACCACAAGAATGAGACAAAATTCAGGAGAGACTGGCAGTTTATTTACAGTGATATCACACACACACACACACACACGCATGCGCACACACACACACACATACACACAAAAACCCAGCAACTAAAGCTAGCATCAGAATTTGCACATGGTTAGCTTCATTTAATTAGAAAACTAATCCCAGCACTATGGGAGGCCAAGGCGGGCAGATCACCTGAAGTCAGGAGTTCGAGACCAGCCTGACCAACATGGTGAAACCCCATCTGTATTAAAAACACAAAAATGGTGACATGCGCCTATAATCCCAGCAACTCAAGAGGCTGACGCAGGAGAATCGCTGGAACCCAGGAGGTAGAGGTTGCAGTGAGTCGAGATCGTACCATTGCATACCAGCCTGGGCGACAGAGCAAGACTCCATCTCAAAAAAAAAAAAAAGAAGAAGAAGAAGAAGAAGAAGAAGAAGAAGTGTACACAAAACGACTGGACAGGTCAGGTGTAGTGGCTCACGCCTGTAATCCCAGCACTTTTGAAGGCCGAGGCAGGTGGATCATCTGAGGTCAGGAGTTCAAGACCAGCCTGGCCAACATGGTGAAACCCCATCTCTACTAAAAATACAAAAATTAGC